CCGCAACTGCTGTTCAGCTGCTTCAGGGTGATGGTACTGGAATAAAATCAAAGTGTGAAATTCTGTCAACGGGCAAGCGCCTATATCTTCTCCCCGAATCAAGAGAACTTTTTTTCCGGTGATGAGAAACAGGAAAGTGAAACATTGCCACTTTTCAAATTTCAACTGAGTGAGACCCTGTTCTTATTCCTCCATGGTGAAACCTACCAGTCCTACCTACTTTGATGATCTTTGACGGTTTCATGTTAAATGGTAAGGTAGACTAAATGTTAAAACTGCCATGATTTTCCTGGTATCAATATCCCTCTGAGCAACTTGAAAATATTAAGATAACTTCGCACCGTTTCGGTGGAACGGAAGGTGTGGTCTTTCAGCCTCCCACTGCATCTGCTAATATTTTGACCTCTGCTGTCATGGGAGACAGAGCACCGTTGATGACGTGTAGCACGAGCTTGCCAAAAACGTCGATGGTGTGCAGTAGTATAGTGTGTATCCAGGATTTGAGTTCTGGGGTAGGCCCAGGTGGACTCACTTTCCTCCCTACGTTACGGAGGGAGTCCAAGATATGAAGTGCTCAAAATTGGGAAAATAAACTCTAAAGCAACGTTAAACTTGTACGTGTTTGTAGACTCTTTTCATCAGTTTCTCACCGCCGAGTCTATTCTAGTCGTACATGAACGACCTGAGTGAAACTGGCAGCGATATATTTAATGCGGATTTCATCGAGGAGTGTACCGAAAATGAAGGACGTCAGTATTATGTTTGATGGTCACTTACTTAGGTCTCGTGGCTTCCTAAAAATTATTTTGGTTTCAGATCTAGAGCAACTATGAATCATGTGATACTCGTCCTGAGAAAAATCGAACAAAAATAGCATTTTGCGGTTGTACAACATTAAACTTAAACTTCGAGACAAAATGTACCAAACAGTGTAGGTAAAAAAGTCAAATCGCCGATCTCATCTTAAAGAGTGGTGTCCCGCCTATACCTCTATTTTGGTTTCAGGTGTGTGGGGTGTATCTGTCACGTGACAATGGCATAACATAATGGGCTTTCACCGCCAAATTTACTTTATTTTATATATTTAATGCGGATTTCAGGAAAAAGTGTACCGAAAATGCAACATGTCCGAATTATGTTTGATGGTCAGTTATTGAGGACTAGAGGCTTCCTATAAATTATTTCGGTTTCAGATCTTTGGTGTGTGGGGTGTGCCAAATTTAGGCGAGACACCAAAAATACATTGACCGTTCGCATGCGTGCGCACGCCAGGAACGCATTCTTTTGTTCCAGCTACCTCCCGTTCTGCACGCGTTCCTTTACAACAAAAGGCCAGTTTACAGTGTGTGCACACTAAAAGTATGCGAAGAAAAATGTGTTTAGTCCTCGCCAGAGGAATGTTACATGTACTCAGTGGCGTCACCAGACTTTTCAGTCTGGGGGGCACAGGGGGGGGGGGGGCACCAGCATTTGATGGGGAGGGGGGCACTTAGGTGGATACGGATCGCCGTCCTGGGGGAGGGGTCTAAGGGGAGGGGGTGCCCCCCTCCCCTTTGGAAAATTTTCGCATACGGAGGTTGGGCTAGATGCAAAATGGCGCCACATTTGATGCTAAATTCGATCTGAAGATATGGGAGTTGAATATAACAAAATATATATATATTTTTTTACCAACCCAAATCTCAGATGGGAGGGGGGGCACTCGGGGGGCACTCGGTTTTCCAGGGGGGGGGGGGGGGGCACGTGCCCCCCCCCCCCCCTTGGCGACGCCACTGCATGTACTATAAACTGGCACCATCAGTCGTAATGCATTGAAGACTTCGTCCAACCTGGGCTAGGTTCTGGGGCAAAACGGGTAGTTTTTTTCTTGGGAAAATTGTCTTTTTTTGTCCTCGTTCGTAAAAACAATGATAATGCCCCTTGCCTTCCCGGGCCAAACCTTCCACTTCCCCATCCCCGGATACGGTTGGAACCTCCCTTTTCAACATTATGACGGCACAATGTTTGGACAGTTGATTTCACTACATAGATCGGCCTAACCTGAAAAAAGGATGGCAGGGCTCCAAGAAAGGTATCAATGGAAAACTGGTGAACCACAACTTGAGATGCAATCACAGTATCAACCACTATGGCAGACAGTATTATATTAAAGGGCCCAACCAAAACCTCAGAAACTCAGAATCTCAAAAAGTTGACTGGATATCGCCGCTAGGCATCATCATCCAGTTTGACTTCACGCCGGTGCCGTGCGAGCGTGAAAACCCTTTTTTTAAAAGCAATCATTGGAAATGCGCCTTTGTGTCACATTTAACCCTATATTTTCAATTTATGTTTTGCCATTTTCAAGGGTATTTTTGTGCCTTTTTTATTTTTGTACTGAAGGTCCTATGCAAATTTCCATATTCATGAGCAAAAGTGTGATGTCATTTCAGGCAGAAACCTCAATGTCAATTTTTGTTGTTGTGATTCGTTGTTGTATCAGGACATTACGGCAGTAAGCCAATGAGCAAACTTTTCTCACAAAGATTTCAATAACCACATTTTTGGGTTCAAAATTTGAACATAAAACCCCTTAACTGAACAGTGTCTTCCTGAAATAACAATAACATCACAGCAACAACGTCCTCAGTTGTCCGGAAAAGCGTGATTTAAAAAAATCAATGTTTAAAGAAGTGCACCTTTCAATAAAATTAACCAAAAATGGGATGTCAAATAGTTTTCATATATTTATGAGGAGTAGAAAGTTGCACAGAATATGTTCCTAAGAAAAATTCACTTCATGGACCCTTAAAGTAAATTTAATTATTTTAAAATACTCATCCGTTATTGATACACCCTGTAATATTTATGTGATAATGCATATCAAACATTTATGCACGCAGGACTACTTTGCGTCAATATTTGATGTGATGGATGAAATGAAGTGTGGGAGTCAGGTTGGCGTAGCGGTTCTTTCCCCACCTTCACCGCTGTGACCCGCGTTCGAATCCCGCGTGGGCCAACATGTGGGTTGGGTTTTCAGTCCCCACCTGATTCCGTGGGTTTCTTCTGGGGCTTTCCTCCCACCTCTAAAACTGTAATTTCTTCTCACTGTCTCCTTTCTACAGGTTTTGTTTCCACCAAGCTTATGCGAGCTCAACGCCTTTAAGGCATCCTTGGTTTCATAACTACAAATGGATAATAATAATAAGAAGAATAATAACACTACCTTTGTTTAATTCCAAATTGGGCCTTATTATCATTATTTACATCAGTTTTACAGTATTTAATCTGAGCCTGGGTGTTTTTCTGTTTTATTCCATAGTGGCAAATTTACATCTCAGCCCTATTGGATAGAAACCATCGTGTGTTTGCCTCACCGTCACAATCGTTTCACGCTGTTATCAAACAGTCATAACTGTAAAAGAGCTGAAGCCATGGTGAAGCCATGGTGACATCGACACCAATGTTTTGGCATTTATGAAAAGCGTGTGCAGGAAAGTTCAAGATGGCAAGTGAATATTTGTTAATGCCTTTACGATGCGTACCCGGGCTTATACCTGCATGTGCCAAGTTACTGAAAGCCCAGTGGTCACACTGCAAGGCTGACCTCCTACCAGAGATCGTAAGAAGAGAAAAGCTTGGTCTACCGTGCTCACTAGGGCTTCTGGAACATCCATTGGACGGGTTACACCACGACGTCAACATGATTGGCCATGTTAGACTAATCCCTGTTGTGGGCAGGCCCTGGGCAGTGTATTTCGACGGACTGTGCCTCGATAAGGCCAACAGGGGTACCGGGCTTGGCATGAAATTTATGGCGATAACAGAGGAGTTCGCCAAGAAACGCGGATACAGTGAGGTCCACTTATTCACCAATCACATCAGTGAATACATCTGCCGTTCCTACACGCACCACGAAACGCCGCCGGCGCATACGATTGGAGCAAACTTACTACGCACGTACAACGAAGCAATCAGTTGGCATGGTAACACGCCCACACCTGGATGGGAGGCGGAGTATAATGATGGCCACATAGCAACCAAAGAGGAAGTGGCCAACGGAATGTGCGGTTCTTGGTTTATGAAATATCTTACAGACAAAGCGCGCGTTTAGACCTTAAACTAGTACGAATGCACAATAAGCTCTAGCTGTCTTGCATGAAAGTCTTGCATGAAATCTATCAAAGTGATCCCTGCCAGAGCTTAAAAGTGCGACGCCGATGACACATATAGAACACCATACTTTAGATTTTTACCTAGATTTATAGCGATGTGTGATAAATACCACGGGACTATAACATTACTGCACTTAGTTTGCCTCCAATTACAAACTTTTCATAAACATCTTTACGACTTGTTACAATTTGCAACTGGTACCGTAACTGTGGAAATTTCACGTAATTTGCATACTCTATTCACAAGTTACGTCTATTTTAATAGGAATAATTCTGCTGTCCACCACTTATCATCATTATTTACCATTCTACGAACTGATGAAGTTAATACCCATTAAATTCAATGAAACATGGACGTTTTCCAATCTCGATGAATGAAGAACTTGCAAGGGAAAACCATAATTTCAGAAAAGAAAAGAAAAGAAAATGGCTAGTTCCTCATATATCCAAAACATAAACTGACAGTAAAAATAACGTTTCAGTCTTCATTTATTAAATGAATCTCATTTGTATTTAAATGGTTGTGTGTATTCTCACTTAGCTCAATAGCTTCCAAAGGCATTCCATGGACAGCTATTAAAATAGGTTCTTTCAGTAAAACATGCATTTACTTCTGATAGCATACATCAATTTCAGTAATTCTTTTATTGAGATGAATGAACATGCTCGTTTAAGACACATTTCATTGGTGTTTCAAATATGATTGATTTTTAAGAAAACAAAATTATTAATTCATGTCACTTTTACCTTGTATACTGTGGAAGGAACAAGTAGTCGGGGGAAGGGTTATTTTGATTAATGAACGAGTAGAGCACAAACATTAAGACACAATAAGATTATCAATTTGTTTTAACTTTTAGTTAATTACATGTATCACTCTTTAATTATCATCATTACTTTTTTTTGAAGTTTTAACATTCGTCTTTCCTGTATACTTATTAATCCTCAAGATTCTTTCCTGTATACCTATTAATCCTCATGTGCTCCACAATGCATTAGTCATAGTTTTTCCAGTAGTGTACATATACATTATACTTGGTGAGTAAAAAAAACCTAACCCAAATGTCGGGACCATTGTTTTAGTGAAGTTCTGCATGTAGCAATTAAAAGATCCAGGATACAAAAGACCCATTCATAAGCTCTCTTTTAGCACAATAATCATTCAAATTACTTTAAAAAATTTGAAGTTACGGGATTTTTAATATGAGGAGTTAGATATAATATATATGGAATGCAGCACTAATATCCTACATCTCTTCCCAAATATCAAGCTTATTTTCAAGAATTTAGGGCTATTGTAATTCATACTTAATCAAAGAACGGCCTAGTGATATCCATTCCTTCACATTGAAAAAAAAACCCAAGACAGTCAGTATAAAGACCCAGTACTACTCACCCTGCCAATTTTTTTTATGATTGAAACTCAATGAGTTTAATATTGTAATCACTGACATTTAGACAAGTCTTAGAGGTTCAACTCGGACGAGTGGATGTACATTTACAGCATGGTTTGTGGGGAAGTAGTGGGAATTACTGGTCCTGAGATGTAGGTCAACTTCAAGACTACCTCCCGATGCAAAGCCAACCTACACCTCGAGACCAGTAATTTCAACTATTTTTCAGAAATAAACCATGCTGTATTTGTTTTACTACACCTCATAAAATATTTAGTAGCCTCGCTGCCTTTTTAGTGGCCTCAATGCTTTGTCGATAACGGCCTTCATAGATTTTGTATCTTCTTTCAGCACAAGATATTCAAGTTCTTTGTCAGTCAATGAAATAGTCTGGTGCCTTACTGCAGTAGTTACAAGGACTACAAAAACCAGACTGCTTCCATAAAGGTTACTTCATGCCACAGACTATGTTTGCATGTGTCACTGGTTCCAGAGGGAATTTTTGGTGCTACCAGAAAAGATACCGCATGGTACTGAGCTGGATACTCACTGGGAGACGTCAACTGGGCGTGTATCATTTTTACTTTCCAGACACACGGTAGAATTGGCCAATGACATGCTCCAATTTGAACATGAATATTTATGAGGTGTAGTAATCAAGACTACTTTTAAAAGAGTTGACATTCAAAGGTTGTGTGTTGGATCTGGAGGTAGCTGATTGAAGGCTTCGTAGAGATTTGCCGTAAAATCCTTGACATGTTTCATCAGCTGAAGCTCCTATTGACAAAACAACAACAGTTGGCATGAGTCTTCTACATCCCACGAGCGTGAGTGGAACATGGAATAATGTTGTGCGTCTGCGTCCCACATGTCAGAAGGCCACAATCTGAGTGGCATGTGGGATGCAAACGCAGTAACGCACTACATTTTCCAAGTTCCAGAATTGCGGTCTTAAAAACAAATATCTTCAAGCAAACTCAACGCAAGTAAAGATGGAACACACACATTGTACAGGGCGAGTTACAAAAGTCCCTTTGGATAATTTCTTACCTCCCATGAAAACAGGAGAGGTTGCAAGTTGTTCTCTTCGGCCAACATTCAACCTGGGTATTGACAAGATTCTGAACAAATTTCACTGATATTCATCCATGCATGCAAAGGATACAGGCCTTTTTTGTGACTACCCCAAAAAACACCACCAACACAAAGTTCAGAATAGGCCTTTAGCATCAACACTATGGCAGCAATGGGCCTCAGGACAATGAAGGAAATAAATGGAATAACAGAACAGGACATCAATTAAATGGAACTAAATTTACTGAAATTGAAACTGAATTTTTACAGGGTGAACCAAGAAGACTTGACATAAAAACTGTAACCAACGGCAACCATGTTTTTCAAAAACAGAATTCTCATTTATAAACATTTTGAACAGAAGGGGATATATTCAAGTAATAAAGATTAGTATAAGAGTGGAGCAGATTTCAGCTTTTTCAGACAAAGATAATGAATGTACTTGGCTGATTATTAACAAGTGCATTGAAAACCGGCCAAGGAACTCCATGCAGATAAACAAAGTGAGAAAACAAAGATTTGCATTAATTTTTACCACGTCTTACCTGACATCATCACAAAATGCTACAGTTACTATCCATTAAGAAACAAAATTCTACGGAATCCATCAAATGCCCCAAAAAACTATAATGTTCCATATCTAGCATCATAAAAAAAATCCATTTGTGACTGTACAAGTTTTCCATATCCGCAGTCATCAAAAACACTCATTGTTGGTCCCCAAATCCAACTTCAGAAATGAATCCCCGAGAGATTTTAGCACTTCAATCAGGATTCAGGGAGAAAACAAACGGTTCAGTTTTTTTATCCAAATGTCCCAAATCTAAAAAGTTTTCCATATCCACGGTCATCAAAGTTACTCATTTTTGGACCAAAAATCCAACTTCACAAAATTAAGTCAAATGTTCACACAAGTTATGTAGCGGTCAGAAATGAATTTCCGAGAGATTTCAGCTCACTACAGTCAGCATTCGGAGAGAAAACAAACAACTTATTTGTTTACCCAATTGTCCCACTCAAACAGTTTTCCATATCTACGTTCATCAAAAATACTCATTTTGGCCCAAAAATCCAACTTCACGAAATTAAGTCATATGTTCACACAAGGTGGGTAAAGGCCAGAAATGAATCCCCAAGAGATTTCAGCTCACTTCAGTCAGAATCCAGGGAGAAAACAAACATTTTAGTTTTTTTACCCAAATGTCCCAAATCTAAAAAGTTGTCCATATCCGCGGTCATAAAAAATATTCATTTTTGACCAAAAATCAAACTTCAGTCAGCATTCGGGGAGAAAACAAACAATTTATTTTTTTACCCAATTGTCTCAAATCTAACAGGTTTTCCATATCCGTGGTCATCAAAAATACTCCTTTTTGGAACAAAAATCCAACTTCACACAATTAAGTCAAATGCTCACACAAGTTGGGTAGAGGTCAGAATTGAATTCCCCAGAGATCTCAGCTGATTACAGTCAGGATCCACGGAGAAAATAAAATGTTTATTTCTTTACCAAAATGTCCCCAATCTAAACAGTTTTCCATATCCACGTTCATCAAAAATACTCATTTTGGCCCAAAAATCCAACTTCACGAAATTAAGTCATATGTTTACACAAGGTGGATTAAGGCCAGAAATGAATCCCCAAGAGATTTCGGCTCACTTCAGTCGGGATCCAGGTAGAAAACAAACATTTCAGTTTTTTACCCAAATGTCCCAAATCTAAAAATTGTCCATATCCGCGGTCCTCAAAAATTTTCATTTTTGCCCCAAAAATTCAACTTCAAAAAATTAATTCAAATGTTCACACAACGTGGGAAGAGGCCAGAATGAATTCCTGAGAAATTTCAGCTCACTACAGTCAGGATCCAGGGAAAAAACAAATTATTTAGTTTTTTACCCAAACATCCCAAATCTAAAAAGTTTTCCATATCAGTGGTCATAAAAAAATATTCATTTTTGCCCAAAAATCAAACTTCACGAAATTCAGTCAAATGGTCACACAAGGTACTGTGTGAAATGCTTGTATCGTTGGTACCCACGCTATTTTCACAATGTTTCTACACATGAGTGGGAGCAGCGAACTAGCAGACAAGCGGCTGTTTCCAGCACGTGACATGCATGTGAGTTGCAGTTCGATTGTCATGATTGCTGTGTTTACTGCTGTTTGTTTTCGAATCCAAGTTAGACGTACCGGTATAATAAAACAACTGTTGACTGCTGTGATGTGGGACATGACTTTGAACACCCTCGGGGCACATAGCACCCTCGGCTTTGCCTCAGGTACTATGCGTCCCTCGGGTGTTTGGCTGAAACCATTTTTACTTGTTCAGTTAACCATTAGGCAATATGAAACTGCCTCGCATGAGGTTAGACCGCACATTTTTAATATAAAAACAAGCTGGACAGTTCTAGGTTGACAGTGAATCAATAACTGCCATTCAAAGTGGTACCATAGCAACTAGCTTTTCGGGTGACTAGAATAGGTGTTGTGCTCTGCAAGTGACGTCAATTAAGTGTTCGCTGTGACGATCATTCTTCTCTCCGTACTCACCAGCTCTGGATGAAAAGTGATATCTCTCATTTCTACTGAATTACTTTGATCTGTTGCTTGTCGCAGTGCCAAACGAATCATGTATTCGCTGAAATGTTTTGTTGTTTTGGCCATCACTTATGTCATCACAGTGTTAGGATCTCACATCTGCCCGTCTGAACCCGCTGTCAAATGTTCTTGCCCACCTCAGTGGCAATTGTGGCAGAACGGGTGTTATCGCCTCACTCCTTCACTATTCTCTTGGGATGCAGCCAAGGAAGCTTGCAAAGACATGGGAGGCAAGATGGCTGCTCCTTGCTCCCTCAAGGAAATGAACTTAATGACAGAAATGGCACAAAAAGAGAGCAGGGAATACAGAGTCTGGATTGCCTGCAATGACAAAAGAGTTGAAGGAACTTGGGAGTGTGACGGTCAGGAAGGAGGCGAGCCCTTCTTGGTATGGGATAATGGGCAACCTGATGATGATGGAGGAGGCAATCAAGATTGCGCTCAAATAGCCGCACGACATCATGACAGGATGGATGATGATTTCTGTGATCGCTCTCACTGGGTTATTTGTGTTCGCAAGGCTCAATACACTCATCTCCCAACCCAACCCCGTCAATACTGCCTCTCTACCGACACCCACGGCCGCATTCTAAACTCAACCTGCCTCCTCGACCACAACATCCGGGAGTTTATCACCGAGGGCGTGGCCGCCTGTGGCTCGGCCTGCGCCAAGGAGCCCGAATGCCGCTCCTTCAACATCAAGAAAAACGAAGAAGGGAAGAAAATATGCCAGCTGAACAACAGCACAAGCTCTGAAGATAAAGACAACTTTCAGAAGACGGACTATTTCTGTATGTACTCAGAGGTGTGTTTTGGATAACTACGTTCACAGTGGATATATAAATTAAGATTTTAAAAAATAGTGTACAAACTCATCCTTTAAGTAAAGGACACCTTCGTTTGGATTCAAATACTCGGGAGTGGACCAAAACTGCTAACTGTCGGCAGTCATCATGTTAATACCGTAGCTGTTTAATCTGCTATTTTGTGTGCTTAACAAGAATGCGTCAACTTTCAACATAAAATGTAAATAACTAATCATATTATATTAGTAAAGGATTTGAAGCTAAAGAAATATACGTTAACATTGCATTTTTTTAAGGTTGAGCAAGTAGATTGAGTTTCCGTGTTTTCTATAGCATTTTCTTCTAGCAATTACTAATAATTGTCATAGTAATACACCTCAATGCTGTTACCATCGTTACAGCACTTGCATGTAAATTCACATTTATTATGTACATTTTTGAAACAGGTTTGCTGGAAATGAAAAAGGTTTTTTTCTTAGGAATTATCAACGAAACTAATTTCTAGCCCAAAAATCTAAATTCACGAAATTAAGTCAAATGTTCACACAAGGTGGGTACATAGAGGCCAGACATGAACCTCCGAGAGATTTCAGCTCACTACAGTCAGGATCCAGGGAGAAAACAAACATTTCAGGTTTTTTTACCAAACTGTCCAAAATCTAAAAAAGTTTTCCATATCCATGGTCATCAAAAATACTGATTTTTGGCCCAAAAATCAAACGTCACGAAATAAAGTCAAATGTTTAAAAAGAAGGTCAGAAATGAATCCCTGAGAGATATCAGCTCACTACAGTCAGGAACAAGGGAGGAAACAAACATTTAAGTTTTTTACAAAACATTTCCCAATTCTAAACAGTTTTCCATATCCGCGGTCATCAAAAATACTCATCTTTGGCCCAAAAATCCAACTTGACAAAATTAACTCAAAAGTTCACAGGTGGGTTAAGGCCAGAAATGAATCCCTGAGAGATTTCAGCTCATTACAGTCATTAGGTATGGCGACAGTGATATACAAGATCAATTGTAACATCAAACAGAGAGAACGTTTATACTAAAACAGGATTACAATTAGGTTGATGGTGGCTTTGAATTGATTAAACCTTAATTACTGCTTTGATGATAGTGACGTGCTCATACCGTAGATACTGCCTCTGTGAATAATCCCGTCTCACATTAATATTGATGTTGGTAATAATGCCAAAGACAAAATGCAATCATCCTGTCAATCAAAACTGACAGTGGCAAACCTTAATTTGACAGTGGAGAATAAGTATCGCGAGGCAACTTGCAACAATGTAAATATTTCATTAGCTATAAACAGTATTGGCCTATTGCCGTTTGCAAGTTGGCCACGCCCCTTAGACAACCCTATGAAGTTTGTGTACGCTAAGTTTTGTTTGTCTCAGATGTTGCGCGTTCCGCATCCATTTGTATCACTGGACAATATTTCACAAGCTGCGTTGACGCGATTCTAACGCAATTCTACCGCGATCTTAGGTCAATTGTGTTCTGACATGACTTGGTAATCACACAGAACTGCCAAAGCATTCATCCTGTTTTAGAGGGCCTTTCTAATGACCGTAACTTACAACATGGCTTTATTGTTAAACACAAGGCATGGTATTGCATAACACATCAGACAATATTAGAAAGACCTATGGAGAACCATAAAATATGTTTGTATGGTCTGCAGGAGATTGTGGGATATTTGAAAAAGAGGCAGACGATATGATAAAACAAAAGCACATAGATACAGATGCAACAGGAGTAAAACACTGAAAGACCTTCGAGTCCCTAAGGGTATATGACTCGACTCGACTTGACTCGAGTCACTGCGAGCAAATGACTCCACTTGAATTCAGTCCCTCATCATCAGACATTCTTGAATTAATGACTCGACTCGACTCAAGTCACTTCTTAAAAAATGACTCAACAAAGTCACAAAAATCGGAGACTCATTACAACTCTGGTTACTAACCTGTTACTTCTGATTCCAATCCATCAAGACACAAAACCAATTTGAATGGGGGAGGTGAAAACACATTTGCTGACAGACGAGACCAGTCCTTGCTGTTAGATGACAAGTCCCTGTGCTGCAGCAAATACAAAAGAAGAGGGGGGCGGTTTAACCATTAAGGCCTATATGACTGATGCAGTGTCATTAAATCATTATATATCATTAAATCAGTATATCATTTGTAGCTATCCAAAAGATTATTGACAAAATTATTGTTGAAAAGTATGGTTTAAAGATACATGTAGTAAAGGCACTGAATTCACTGTCAGTTTATTCTCTGTGGCATGCTGTTATTTTTAAGCTGTCATTTTTAAGAAAACAATAAAAGAAAGTCATTTCCAAAGATGTGTCAAGTGAAACAATTTTGGAAATTTCCGTTTCTGTAGTTTGTTTTGAATTTCATAGGCGAAGCCGTGAATGGGTGCGTGCAAGCGTTGACACTATGCACACCCACACGATTGCTATATTTCATCAGTTCAGAGTGTGACATCGCTTAGCTACATGTACAATCGGCTGAATGAGAATGATCAGAAATGACAAATGATATACTCTACTGGTACAATTAAAAGCAGACAATATTTAATATTATATAACTTACATACAGATCCTAGTCATTTGATTGGTGGAACTCACATCACGTGGCATTCGTTATTGCTCCCATTCATGCCACGGCTCAAAAAGTACTATCCGCCCATGGGGAATGGGAAATACTATTCAACAGTTAGGATCATGACGCGGTATTTGTGTGCAAATGCATGCTGGTGTGCGCGTTCAGCGTTGCGCGTAGCGCGTATTGTTCCAAAGAGCCAGCGCTACAGCGTTGGGTTCAAACATTTTCGTGAAGGGGTGGTTTGGAAGAGACAAATACATTTTCCTCCAGGTTTGTATGGAAATAAAAGTTCAAACATATCAAATGACAAGGATCTATATGTCAGTTAAATAAAACAAATATTGAGTGGCTTTAAATTGTGAAATGGGAGGAATATTATCGCTAGGTAAAATCTGGACTTTTCCATTTTACTCGGCTTCGCCTCGTGAAATGGAAAAGTCCAGATTTTACCTTGCGATAATATTCCTCCCATTCCACGCTGAGCCACTCAATATTTGTATACTATTGGTGGGACTATTTGTTGCAGCATTTGTGCTGATGGACAAACTTTCTGCCGACAGAACAACAATTTCGCCCCAATTTTTTTAAATAGGGTGGGGTTGTCACGACAATTCTAGCACCCTCCCCCCCCCCCCCCCCCCCCCGGTCATGCTCTGATTACTGACTCTAGCAATAATTACTTCTTGCTGTCCTACTAATGTCGGTAATTCCAGAGGCAAACACAATCATCTTCTCAATCAAAGCTGACAGTGACGTGCTTTGATATGAAACTGGAGAGTTAGCATCACTAGGCAACCTGTAAACACTGTCAGATTTCGTTTGGCTAATGGTGGTCTTAATTTTGACATGATTTCCAAATCCCACAGAAATGGATGTGCCAGCATATAAAGGCAACTCAAGGTGCAGAAAATACCAGACAGACATACGGAGAAAGAAGACATCTGTCTGCATCTCTCTTGCAGATTGTGTTGATCTGAAAAAAAGGCAGACTCTACAATAGATGACAGCAAGGGGACGAATCTGTGTTCACGGGAACAGAGTGCCCATCTCTCTTTTGAAGCAATTGGGCCAGACTCGAGTCCATGAAATGCTGCTGTGGGGGGATCGCCACACCTCCTCCACAGCGAGGCTGTTACCTTCCAAGCATTGAATAATGCCGACCATTTAACACCTGGGTTGAGAGGAGTAATTGAGGTAAAGTGCCTTACTCAAGGGCACAACACACATGGCCACAGCGGGGCTCGAACCCACAATCTCACGATCATGAATCCTGTGTTCTACTGCTAGACCACACGTGCCCACTAGAGGACAGCAAAAGCACGTAGATATACCGGTAGTTCAAACAGGATGACATGGGACAAAGCTCCAGTACACAGGCTGTTGACTTTTGTCTTTCTCGTCAACATTGCCACGAACCCTGCACCAAACCAGTGAAAGAATCCCCTGCCCGTCCTTTGGTGGGCCTTGGGCATCTTAGCTTGGTCTGCACAGTCACAAGTGGAGTCACAGAGGGGCTGACAATACATCTTAATCATTTCACCAAGGCTCAGTGGAAACGTCATCGTCACTTCCGACTGACTGCCACAAGCAAGCTGTGATGATGCCTGTAAAATAAGCTGAGCAAAGCAACCAAGCTTCTTACAAGGTGCCTGTGCTACTAAATAAAGAGGATTCTTTCAACTTGAAGGAGAGGACCTGCCCAAATAAATGGAATGTGTCACGTTGAGGTTTGCTTTGATGTATGCAAAGGTAGCCAACTCCTTCCAGTGGTAGGGAATCACTTCAAACTTTGTACAGTCAACACGGGCTAACAAGTTAATGTTAATCTGAAACAAACACTGTTTCTTCCACTCCCTCGACCAAACAAGAAATCCCACGTTATGTCACATTACTCATTGGAACGTAAGGTGACATGTGCATGGATTTCAATGAACTTGATTTGACAGATATTACCTTTGCTTCAAGATGAGCTTTCAATGGTTGATCTACAACTGTTCTGTGACTATATGTGGGGAAAATGTGACGTCAGACAATTGGAAATCTCTGAATGATGAACAAGAGTTCTAGACATTTTGGTTGAGCTACCGGTAAATCAAAATGGAGAATAACGATTCTAGCTTAACAACCCTGGCTCCTTTTGATTTATCGCTGCCAACTATACTCATGGTGGTTATGACTGTATTTGGAACAATCTTCTGTTTTATCTACTTGTGGCTTATCTGCTCTATCATTTTCTGTCGCAAAGTCAGAAATCATTCCAATTATTTCCTGGTGAATTTATTTGTCACTGAATTTGGTACCATCCTGTTGCTACTGATTCAAATCCACAAAGACTTAAATAGGCCTTTCCCGAAAATATTGGTGTTGTTATTTGCAAGCATGGTTGTTCTTGCCTATGGTTATTTCTTGTATTCTGCTGTTGTTGCCTTAGATAGGTATTTCAAAATTGCCAAATTGCCAGTAATGCAGATGGTGTTGGGGGCGCTGTTTCTGGTGTACATGCAGAGCGAACATAGGCAGGTGCTCTGTGACACATGGAAGGCCATCCGTAACAAGTTCACATGCTAAACTGAAAACTAATACATTGTCTTTCTGCAGAAACAACACTATTTGTTGTAATTAGGTTAACAGCAAATCAGATTTACAACAAACAAAACCGGAAAATATTCTTAGAGAAATATTACATTGTGTGATACTGCTATATTTGGCGAAATGTGTGATTCCATAAATCAACACTGTTTTCACGCAGCGACAAAAAACCTAGAAAATCAATAATTTTTCGATATTGAGGTTTGCGGGCCATTTAATTACATTTGACACAAAGATCAATTTGATCAAGTTTCAAAGCAAAATATTGTTTACTTTCTTAATTGTCGTAAACAAACATTTGACAAAAAGCTGGAACTCTGCGTTTTTTTCCTCATTTTAACGAATTGTCAAAAAGTCACCGCGTTAGCAGGGCTAGAGAAATCATGAACTGCTCTACATGCACCAGGATGGAGGCACCGGCACAAACGATGTTAAAAAAGAACAGACATGCACGCTCCTCTGTATGTGACGCGCAAAATTAACATTTTCCCACAACATTTCATGTTTTCACCAAGTGACAAAGACTGAGTAGGGGTAAGGTGATTTGAAAACAAGGATTATTAACTTCAAATGCAGTTACCTTGGGATGACCTTTTCGCAATAAAGAGGTTGTTGGTCACTTTGTGAAAACAGCGTTCAAATGTGGAACTGATAAAATTTTGGTGTCCCTATTTACATTGTGATATTTGTTTCCTTAGTACTACCAATAATAATATAATAGTTGCTCTTATAGCACTTGTACCTAAATATCTGGTAGCAAAGGATGAAACATCCAACTAATTTTCTCACAGTACGGGTGTCCTAAATAGTTCACTGTTTTACGTGTAAAGGGCCACCAAGGACAGACACACAATGTTCTCTGCTGTCGTCAATAATGCCTGTCGAAATTCCAGTGACCAAATACACCACTGGAAATACGTGGACAATTTGAACTTCGGTTGTCGGGTGAGCCATCAAACTTTTTTTCGATCGCTGATTGGTTCCCTAGGAAAGCAATATGATGCTGCATGGGTCACCGCACATACATATATAGCCCGTGTGTTAAAAAAATCAGTGACTCGTTACAACTCTGGTTACTAACCTGTTATACATCGAATTCCAATCCATCAAGACACAAACCAATTTGAATGGTAGGGGTTAAAACACATTTGCCGACGGACGAGACCAGTCCTTACTGTTAGATGGCAAGTCCCTGTGCTGAGCAAAGAAGGGGCGGGGTTCCGGTAACCATTATCTGACTGATGCAGTGCCATTAAAGGTAGAGTATATAATTTGCAGCTATCCAAAAAGTAATTGACAAAATTATTGTTTAAAAGCATGGTTTAACGATAGCAATGGCACTGAACTCCATGAAAAATTATTCTCTCTGGCATGCTGTCATTTTGAAGAAAACAATAAAATAAGGTCATTTCCTAAGATGTGTCCAGTGACACATTTTTGTCAATTTCCGTTAGTAGTTTGTTTTGAATTAGGTGAAGCCGTGAATGGGTACGCGCAAGCGTTGACACTATGCACACGCACTTGCTATAAATCATCGGTTCAGTGTGTGACATCGCATAGCTGCAATTGCCTGAATGAGAATGATCAGAAATGACAAATGATATACTCTACTGGTACCTTTAATACTATTGGTGGCACTATTTGTTGCAGCAAAGCATTTTTGCTGATGGACACATATTTTGCTATTAAACAAAAATGATTAATAGGGAGGGGGGTGTCACCACCATTGTAGTGAGTGACCCCCCCCCCCCCCCACCCTGTTGACATGCTTAGATTACTTCCTCCAGCATTACGTCTTGCTGTCCTGCTTATGAACTTATGCCGGTAATTCCAGAGGCAAACGCAATCATCTTCTCAATCAAAGCTGACAGTGATTT